TTAAATGTGCTATTACTATCTGGAAGATAACTTACCCGAATATTAACACCACTTACAAAGAATTCGGTACCATATCGTTTTTCATTCACTAAACACAAAATGTTATGCGCGTGTTGGAGTTTACCATATCAACCGGTCAGAAAAGGAAATATTGCACACATACATATGATACTATGATTGGCTGTTAAATGATGGTACCAGTTAAGACTGCCGAACAGTGATGAGAAGATGGAAATAAACATGATAAAAAATAACCAAAGTCTAGGCTGAGCACTCACTGACCAAAGTTCATATTTTCTTAGTTGATATATAGCCTTGCTTCAAGGCCTACTTTCTACTATATATCAGTCTGAAGATAATCAGTGTTGGGGACAGCAATGCACATCAGTATATTTTTCTTCATTACAAGCATAGTTACAAAAACAAAATGTGATGAAAACATCAGAAATCTGTAGAATACAAGTCTTCAAGTTCTAAACCGCCACATTTAAAACTGTCAGAGACCCAGGTAAACAGTGTACTTCTGTGAACACGCAAAAACTATCAAACTAAATACATAAGAATAAGATTCTAGCGTATCAAAAACAAAGAAAATATCTTTTCTGTGTGAATTAAATCGCTACTGCATACGTAATAGCCCTAAATAACTCTCACCAGTTAACACATATGTTAAGAATAAGCATTTAATAAGGCCAACAAATGCTAGAACTAAGGTATCCACATTAGTTTTAAGCTGATACGACATCATTAAATGGGTATTTGTGTGAATGTTCTTGATTAGAGTAAAAATTAATGTATGTGAAAAATACATATGTACCTGTTCGCCATACGCAGGACTTTGCAACAACGAATAAAGAGAAAATGTATTTCTTCGCACGACTATAACTAAGTACCTACACGGACATTGCCCTGAAAGAGGTCAGAATAAGTGCGAGATACTCTGACCCTCATGTATTCGTATTCACCTGAAACAGATACCATCTAACAGGGGAGAGGAAGAGATCATTCACCCTTGATCCTCCCAGGTCTATAAGACCTAAACAACGAGAACAGCACCAGCAGACAAATGTCAGACTACAGAGACGTTTAACGGTATAATCGAGTTTCGATCTTTCTCTTCTATCCCTTTTGCGTCGATAATTCCTACAAATACTATTCAAAAAATTCCCCTCAGTTATACAAGTACCGTATTTTTCGGTGAATAAGACGCACGTTTTTTACCCCAAAAATTTGATGTCAAAATCTGCTTGCGTCCTATACACCGAAGGTATGAATAACATATATATATATATGTGTATACACGATATACACAAGCCATGTGTAAATATATTTAAATAGGCATGCATAGTTTAGTTCAATTGAACGTGTTATTTATAACAATAGTAGTTTTTTTCTTTTTAAAACATAACTATTTATAATGCTCCCCAAATAATAAAAAATAAATTACAGTGAAAGCAATGAAGATTTTGTAGGTTCGTCTTTGTTAAATAATAGGTTGAAAAAATCGCCAAGTTATTGTTTGTTTTGAACTTCGCGCAAAGCTACACGAGGGCTATCTGCGCTAGCAGTCCCTAATTTA